TTTTGATTTTTTTCCCAGTCAGCTGCTGTTTACTGATACATCACTAACAGAACTAGACTAGAACTAAAAAAAATGGATTTATCCGAAAAGATTTGGCGGACAGAACGGCATGGAGAGAAAGAGTGGACTTGGTCCGGGCAACTCGCCCGACCTGATGATGATGATGATCCGAAAAGAGGATAAAACACCCCGAGATGATATGATGATAAAGGATACGTGCTTCAACGCTGGTTCTATACATGTAGGCTGTACCACACACTTCTATATCAAACGGGTATTGTGATTTTTTTATTGTCTGGCTGTTTGACGTGCTGGCTGTTTGAATATCAATAACGTGAATTTCTCTTTTCTGGACCTGTTTTCACTTTCTACATAACAAATCAACAGAAGAACAGAAAATGCAACATATTTTTTTTTCTGCCTATTTCTATAATTACAAGACTGAAACGTCGTTATCAGACTATATGCAATCGTACATTAACTCCTCTTTTGCGCAGAAAATGATAATCTTCAGAGGCAGGTGCAATATACGTTCATATCTGAAACCTCTTAAAGGCAAAATTATAGTTAAGAAAAGCCTAAACATTGTTAACAGACGGTGCAATGGTTAATCTGAGTTTTCTAAATATGGCAGAGGAGTACCGCCTACCGATACCAGGAATACTAAGTAAACAAAATTATAGTACCAGGTACCAGCAGATGATTAGGTGGAAAATGTTTTGAAATCCGGGATACTATGCTGACAGCGCCATGCATCTACAACCTTATCTACTGTAGGAAAGCAGTACAATTTTCTACCCCAGCATTTGTTTAAAAAATGAAAACATAACAGGCAAGCTGTCTATACAACAAATTTAGCTTCACTAATCGCCAACTGGCAGACACAAACCTTATAATCAAGTCCAAATAGCTTCTGTTGAAACTTTCCGGGTAGGAACTCGTAAAAAGTGCCTGCCTCAGACACAGGTTATTATAAAGAAGTGACTCGAAGAGTTGATTGTCTGAACGGTGTTTTCTTGAGCAGATTAAAGAAAGTAAAGTTTTTTTGAGGATAAAGAGAGTTAAAACACTTTCTTGGACGGAGTGAAAAAAAGTGTGGCGCTTTTAGGGATAAAGGGAACTACTTTTGACATTAAGAGAAGTGTATGACTTTCTCAGATGAAGAGTGGTGAAATGTTGTTTTTTTATGCAGAGAGTTGCGAGGATTTTTTTTTTATTTCGGGTAGAGATGGAGACACGTACCTTCTAATCCTTTTAAAATAGCTTCAGATGGCAATTTCTGTGTAGGAACTTGTGAAAAATTTCTCAGACACAGGCTACTGTTGTTCTTGCTGGGTGTGTCCTCCTTCGGTAACTGATCTGTAATATCGTGTGACAAACAACCTAACATTCGTCATACACACGTGGTAGTTTTGATTGTCTGGACGGTTCTTCATTGATCTGATTCCAAAGCTAAGTGCAACGGGGGATGAAGAGAGATTGGACGGAGAGTAGAAAAGTGCGGTACTTTAAGGTATATAGGGAGGGGCTTTTTGGATCAAGAGTAGTAAATTTAAATTCCTGGATAAAGAGTGGTTCAATGTTTTTTTTTCGGATAAAGACAGTTGCGGGGATTTTTCATACATGCATTCATACAAACAAGACAAGTGTTTTTTTTTTCTATGGTGGAAAAGTAAGAGAAGAGAAGTGTGTTTTTTTGGACGAAGGAAAATGCAGTGATATTGCAAGAATAGTAAGGCAATATCGAACATATTTGCTTATAATATACTATGGACAGAGGTTTGTCAGAAGCATAGAGACGATAATTTGAGAAAGCTTCTTTTAAGCGAGACCTTCTTCCGAAAACCATGACTTCAGACATTTATCCTTGGTACTAGATATGAATGATCTTTGCCTTGATTACAGATATGGAAGCACAATCATATCATATAATATCATGGTTTGAAAACAACTTCTACCCCAACATCTATTCACAAAATCAAGCTTTGAATCTAAGACATAAAATACTGTCTATACAGCAGATTTAGCTCTACTGAGGATTAAGGGAAATGCTTTGGGGGGTCAAGAGATATCGTACATTGATATCTTAGATGAAGAGTAATGCAATGCTTGATGGATGAAGATGGAAGGGTAAAAGATTCTGGTCTTTTTTCTGACGAAGGTATGATAGCTATGTTTTTTGATGGGATTCGGGGTGCTGTTTTGGACTAAGGAAAGTGTTGCCAATCGCCGCCCTCTGTACGAAGTTAGCCAGAGTCATTTCTAACTTCGTTTATCGTACACCAGTCCCCGCCCTCTGTACTAAGTTAGACCCAGTAATTTCTAACTTCGTACATGTTCCAAAAGCAAAGGCATTGAAAGATTCCATTGCTGCATGGGGGTATAGACTGTTGGAACACTTCAAATTTTGAACAGGGGTGACTGATCGAAAGCTCTAGGCGAGAACATTCCCCGTGTGTACTGGAACAAACGTTTTAGCTTTGAACATGTAAGTACCGACGCAGAGGAATTTGCATGATTGGGTAATTTTTATGTTTGCCTTACTATGGAACAACATAAGTGGGGAATAAATGATATCAGAAGGATATAGAAGCACTGAACATTTTCAATTTCATTTTTCGGTATGGAACATGTTAGTGCTATAGTTTTCAGACGGAATGGTCTGGAAGACAAAGGCATACACTGAGAAAAACAAACGGCTTTGAATATAATCTGTGTCTTAGTACGATATACAATAGGTGATGCTTGATCTAGGCCGTGCACTCAGCGATCTTATGAATGGAAAATACACTTGCATCTACTTATTTAAACAATAGTATAGATGGCGCTAAAACAGCCACTGCTTGGTGGCGGATAGCACCCAGTCATATGACCTGTACAAAGCAGTTACATAACTAGACAGGTAACATTTGCAAAGCAAATGCATAAAGTTTACTTTCGCATATTGCCTGCTCTGTTAGTTCTTACTTAAACACATTCATATATATGGTCAGACGGGAGTCTAAATCCCTTCTTCTATGAAATTCAACATGATGTAACCTAACACTAGTTACCATGGTAACAGACGTCTGGTTTCAGAACATTAACATTATTTGTTTGGAGAAGAAGACAACGAGGAAACAGAGCAAAAACAATGTGTTTTCCTTCCGTAAACATAATTAATCTTTATTTGCATGTTCATGCCAATAGGGCTAAATGCATACATCAGGATGTAATGTTACATGTATACATACTGAGTAACATACTAGTAGTACATAGGATAGAAGGAAAGGAGAATAACGTACAAGTGTTAGGTACTACTGGAAAATGTATTCTAATTTAGGTCTTGAAGATTCCTATTTTCTTTTTAAAGCAACTTGATATGAATTCACATAGTTTTCTATTGTATGGTCGTTACTGGTGGGCATGAGGTGACTGAATACCTCATTTTTGTAAGGGATTAAACATGCTAGCTGTAATTGGTTTGGCTGGAAATAAGTACCTGACTATTGAAATTGAGGACCGTTAATAAGGAGTCGTGCGCATCAAGCCGAGTCATCGCAGCACAGTCGTGACTCTATGCTACACGCTTCCAATTAAAGTGAGCGGCAACAGTCCGTCAGTCTCCTACGCGCCGTATCTAAAGGCCGTAACTATCATGAAAGTTCATCTGTGTTGGTAATTACAAGTTTAAAGTTAAAATTTTTGATCCAACACAAAAAAGTTCTTTCACCTAGAGCTTTCGACCTGTCGCTCTGGTCTTCCTCAGTAGACTCAGTTGACGTCACACTTCAAAGAAGCCACGTTGCAAGCTTCACTGGGTCAGTCTACTGAGGAAGACTAGAGTGACTGGTCGAAAGCTCTAAGTGAGAGAACTTTTTGTGTTGGATCAAAAGTTTCAACTTGAAACAAAGGCCGTAAGTGTTTCATAATGATCACTGAAATACTCAAAGTGAGGGCGTGATAGTGCTTAAAATGAAAGCGTGTCTTGATCAGGTTTAGCCGACTGTAAACCCGAAAGGTTCATTAAAGAGGGTGTGCTCAGGAAAGCTATTATGGAAAATTACAATACATGTAGCCAAACAAATTGCCCTGCATAAATACGTTGCAAAAAAACGTGTTCCCAGATCCTTAAACGTTTTGTTGATAATTGTGCACACAGGAGCTAGATATCGACACGAACCTAAGACCAGACTTGATCCTGTTTTCTAGGAAAACGACCCAGGTAGTGCTGATAGAATTGACTGTTCCCTGGGAGGACAGGATGGAAGAAGCGAACGAGCGGAAACGAATGAAGTATCAGGAACTGGTGAGCAGATGTAGAGAGAAAGGTTGGAAGACCTGGTACTTCCCAGTGGAAGTAGGATGCAGGGGTTTTATAGGACAGACCTTGTGGAAGGCACTGGGACAGTTAGGAGTAGCAGGAAAGAAGAGGAGAGAAGTAACTAAGAGAGTCACCAAGACCACCGTCGATGCCTCACTCTGGGTATGGACACTGAGGAATACCACCCAATAACCACTCGCCGGGCAGCGAGTGGCCGTCGCTGTCGCCCCGCTGGCTAGAGACGTACTGCAACAAGGGGCGAAACGTCAAGGAAAGCCAGTTTGCAGCTGATGACGGCGAGTGGAGAGCAGAGTCCGACCCTCTGTATGATGTAAGTTACTACTCTGGTGAAAACCAGTGACAGCCAGGAACAGACTGACTGACAACCCAGAAGAGATGGGTGACGACAGGAAAGACTGTGGACATCCAGGAAAGACTGGGAACCTGAGGCAAGAGGGTCTGCAGCCCTACCTTGCAGCCTACTTGTGACCCAAGAGGCACTCAACCTGTTGCAACTTCAGTCACGACAGAAAGATACCCCCGGGAGCATCCGAGAGGGGGGGCGGAAGAAAGCTCCGTTGGGACAGACCTAAGAACGACGACCCGGACCGAATTGGGACAAACGACTCCAGAAAGAACTTGTAGATGTGGCAAAATCTGCAAGAACAACAGAGGCCTTAAGATACATCAAACAAAGATGGGGTGCTTGCAGAGACAGAAGAACCTCGACCAACGCGCGAGACCTCAAGGTCTTGGTGAGACGGAGGAAACCCAGAGGCAGGAGGCACACCACAGTCCTCAGGGCATCCAAGTGAGAGGTCAGCAGACAGCAAGCACTCAGGGGTCCATCCCAGTGGTGACGGAACCGGTTGGTCAGAGTGATCAGGAACCAGGCGTAGAAGAGGCGGAAGAACTTAGAAAAGCACGGGTGAAATGGCCACCAGGTAACGCAGACAAGCAGTGGGAGCAGTTAGACGAGGATCTGGAGGGCAGGAAGCGTGGAGAGGAAGTTAGAGGCATTGGTGAAAGTGGTGTACAACGTAGGGCTGGAAAGATTTGGAGAGAAGGAGCTAGGGAAAGGAAGACCACAGATTAATCAGCCCAACCGCAGAGAAAGAGAGAAACAAAGAATAAGGAAAGATTTAGAGGCTCTGAGAAAGAGATGGAAAGAAGCCAGTCAGGAAGAAAGAGATGCCCTAAGTTCACTAAGGGAAGAACTACGAGTGAGACTGCGCAGTCTCAGTAATGCAGAAAGGACAAGGAAAAAGAGACGCCAGAAAGAGAAGAAGCGTGCAGAGTTCGTGTCTAACCCCTTCAGATTCACAAAACGGCTGCTAGGAGCCAAGATGAGTGGCAGACTAACCTGTAGCAAGGAAGAGGCAGAGAGTTACCTACAGAAAACGCATGGGGATGTAGAGCGAGAAGTCCCTCTGGAAGATAGGCCTAAAGACGAGTTTCCAGACCCTGAACAACCAACCAGGGAATTAGACTGTAGTGAGCTGAAGTTAGCGGAGGTGAAGGACGTGATCAGGAAAGCGAGGGCTGGTGCAGCACCAGGGCCAAGTGGAATAATATACAGGATATACAAGAAATGCCCAAGACTTACAAGAAGACTTTGGAGCCTGCTGAAAGTAGTATGGAGGAAAAAGAAGCTACCACAGGGATGGAAGAAAGCTGAAGGAGTGTTTTGTCCAAAGCAGGAAAACGCAAAAGGGATTGAACAATTTAGGACGATATCCCTATTGTCAGTGGAAGGCAAGATTTTCTTTGCTGTTCTAGCCAAGCGGCTCCTGAAGTACATGATGGATAACAACTACATTGACACTTCTATTCAAAAAGGTGGCGTACCAGGGTGTTCAGGGTGTCTCGAGCACACAAGCATACTGTCACAACTGATACAGGAAGCTAAAGCAGGGAAGGAGGACTTAGCAATAGTCTGGTTGGATCTTCAGAACGCCTATGGGTCGGTACCACACCAGCTGATTAAAGTGGCCTTAGAGAAGTACTACGTTCCGGAACCGGTACGCCTCCTTATTGAACAGTACATGGATGGACTGATGATAAGATTCACTGTAAACGGCTACACAACATCATGGCAAAGGTTGCAGAAAGGCATTATCACAGGATGCACCATATCGGTGATATTGTTCGTGGCTGCAATGAACCTGGTGATGAAGCCAGCCTTGGGCCAAGCCAGAGGGCCAAAGACTGATTCTGGAATAAGGCAGAGGCCACTTAAGGCCTTTATGGATGATCTGACAGTGACGACTGAAAGTGTGATTAGTGCAAGATACGTACTCAGGAGTCTGAGCAAGGCAGCCAGCTGGGCTAGAATGAAATTCAAAGCCAAAAAGTGCAGGAAACTGGTGATGCGAAGAGGGAAGATCTGTGACAAGTTGCAGCTAGAAGTTCAGGGGGAAAGAATCCCTGCAATTGCGGAGCAGCCCATCAAAAGCCTAGGGAAGAAGTTTGATGTAACATTAAGTGACAAAAAGAACATTGAAGAATTCAAGCAACAGATGCGAGACGGGCTAGAAGCCATTGAGAATAGTGAACTCCCAGGGAGATATAAAGTATGGTGCAACCAGTATGGATTGTTACCACGAGCAGTATGGCCGATGACCATGTACGATATACCCCTTACAGTTGTGGAGGAAGTAGAGAGGAGGGTGAGCAGACATCTGAGAAAGTGGCTGGGGGTGCCTCCAGGACTGACGAGCATAGGATTGTACAGCAAAACAGCCAAACTACAGCTGCCACTAACGTCAATGGAAGAAGAGTATAAAGTGACGAAGGCAAGAGCCCAACTAATGTTACAGGAGAGTCGAGACGAGTTGGTTAGCCAGGCAGGAGTAAGACTAAGATCAGGAAAGAAGTGGGCAGCAGCAGAAGCAGTCGCCAGCGCAACAAGTAGACTTAAGCACAGAGACATCGTGGGAGTAGTAGCTCAAGGCAGGAGAGGGTTTGGAGCAGGAAGGGAAGGAACCCAGAGATGGGGTACTGCTAGCCCAAGGGAGAGGAGGGAACTGATCCAGAAGGAAGTTAGACAGCAGGAGGTTCGGAGATCAAGAGCAGTAAGCCAGGGGGTTCAAGGAGCTTGGACAAGATGGGAGGGAGTACGAGAAAGAAAGGTCATGTGGAATGAACTTATGTATAGTGAACCCTCGAAGATAAGATTCCTGCTGAAGTCTGTTTACGATCTTCTGCCAACAGCTGCAAACCTGAAGAGGTGGAGGAAGAAAGATGAAGACAAGTGTGAGCTCTGTGGCAAGACAGGGAACCTTAGCCACGTCCTAACAAGCTGCCCGGTTGCACTAGGCAAGGGGAGGTACACCTGGCGCCACAACCAAGTCCTGAAAGTGATAGCCAGTGCAGTAGAAGAACAGATGACGGAGAATAAGGTCAAGGGAAAACAGAGGAAGGGATTGCAGTTCATCAGCTTTGTAAAGGAGGGATGGAAAGGAAAGAGTAAAGAGAAGAAGGAAAGAGAGCGGATAGGAATCATAGCATCAGCAAGTGACTGGTCCTTACATGCTGATCTTGGCAAACAACTGGCCTTCCCGGCAGATATCATCGACACGAACCTAAGACCAGACTTGATCCTGTTTTCTAGGAAAACGACCCAGGTAGTGCTGATAGAATTGACTGTTCCCTGGGAGGACAGGATGGAAGAAGCGAACGAGCGGAAACGAATGAAGTATCAGGAACCGGTGAGCAGATGTAGAGAGAAAGGTTGGAAGACCTGGTACTTCCCAGTGGAAGTAGGATGCAGGGGTTTTATAGGACAGACCTTGTGGAAGGCACTGGGACAGTTAGGAGTAGCAGGAAAGAAGAGGAGAGAAGTAACTAAGAGAGTCACCAAGACCACCGTCGATGCCTCACTCTGGGTATGGACACTGAGGAATACCACCCAATAACCACTCGCCGGGCAGCGAGTGGCCGTCGCTGTCGCCCCGCTGGCTAGAGACGTACTGCAACAAGGGGCGAAACGTCAAGGAAAGCCAGTTTGCAGCTGATGACGGCGAGTGGAGAGCAGAGTCCGACCCTCTGTATGATGTAAGTGTATGTTCACGTTTAACACAGATAGCCTTGTCCTGTCTGATATTAGGAGTTCTGCGCACATTCACTGCGCACAGTCACCTCTCGCTAATTATCGCGAGAAAATAGTTGCTGTTGCACAGTTAGGCTGGTCGGTGTACACGCCTAGTGAAGTTAGGACTTACGGAAAATTGACTTTACCTTATTTGGTATTTAAAGAGTTAGTCATGTTGGCTAACGATGGGCTCTGATGATTTCCTTGGGGTAGGATAGGAAATAGTGTATACCAACTTTAAAGGCTATCCATTATAATTTTACAGTTAAGAGAGAGGCCAGATGCCTTTTCAAATTTTACCACTTTTGGTCTACATTTCTGGGTTTTGACTAAAGCGATGATGTGGTGTAAATGTAGATGTATGTTTTTAAGATCGGACCAAGGGCCATTTTTTTGTTTTATGATTAAATAACATGAATGAGGATACTTCCCCGTTTCGTTACAAAGAAGTAAAATATCACGTTAGCAAACAAACAAAAATGCACTTAATGAAACACTCCTCGACACACTTGATGAAACACTGTAACAATTTAAAATTCTTACAGAGAGGATCCGTGAGTATCCGTGTTACAGGGAGCTCGTGTGTTGTGACGACACAAAGAAGAGCCACGTGCGTCATGGCCTCGCCATGGAGACGCTTCTAATTATCTTGTCATATTGTGAAGCTCGTCTGGAAATTAAGGTACTTATAATTTCAAGGTAACCCCGTGTATTGTGCCGCGGTGGTAATGTTATTAATATTTCAGATGCCGTCACTTCATGTAGCATGCGGTGTGACAGGAGTCTTTCCGTCGCCATGGTTACACGAATGGCTAACACCGGATATATAGGATATATAGGATACAAAACATGGAGACAGAAATGGATAACTGCAAAACACATAAAATGCATACTGGAATGCGAGGCTGTGTTTAGTCTCGAGACCTGGTCATCCCTTTGTAGAAGAGGGAAGGACGAGTGATATAAGAATAAAGAACAACATGTTGCACCATCCACAGTAAAGACATCAGCTATGTTAGAGCAATGTGTTAGCATGTGTAAAGTCATTAATATTGAAATGTTCATCACATAAGTTAACCCGGTGTCGCCGGAGTCTTGTTTGTTGCTATGGTGACAAGAATGGCTCCCAAAACATGTGAAAGAGGAGACGAGACTATCAAATTCTCTCTTGTCATATTGTGAAATGAATAAAATGATAATAAAGAAAAAAAAACTGACAATGAAAACATACATTGCCATGGTAACGGTGGTTGTTGTTAGGGTTATTGTTTGTATGGCACTCGGGGCTCGTTCACTATACACTCAGGGGAGGGTGGGAGTGATCTCCTGAAGTGCACTGTATCTGTCTAGACTTAACAGGTAACAAGGTATACATGTATACTTTCCTTTATAAAGTACTATCTTCAATCACCAGCAGCAGTATATAAAAAAACATTGATAGTCATCACTTTCATCGTTATCATAACGTTTAGCATCCTATGTGTATCACTGACAGTATACATGTATTAGACATATACAGTGCAGTTCAGCAGATCAATCCTACCCTCCCCTGATTGTGTACTATACGGGCCTCAGAGAAATAGGGCATCACTGCAGAAAGGTTTAACCAAGACCCACCATAACCCCTCAAACGCTTTCTTAAAGTCAATGAAGTTGTGGTGTAGTTCACGTTGGTGCTGCAGGTGTTTTTCGATGATCAGTCTACAGTTGAGAATTTGTTCTATTGTGCTTCTTCCCGCTCTGAAACCGGCCTGCTCTTCTGTCAGGTTTTCTTCTGCGTTGAGCCTCTTCCACTTTAACCCTCAACAGTACACCTTCCCGGACTGATTAATCTGTACACCTGGGGTCCGCGCGGACCCCAGAACAGGTTTTTGCTAATTTTTAGAAATTATCAACATGCTACCAGCTCAATTGTTTTGCAAACTGATGTGGAAACCTCTGTGTCCACATTACATACAAAAATCATACATTTTGAACTTTTTCTATTTTTTGGTGAAGAAAAGAAGACAAGAAGAAATACCCGATTTTTAAACCCATTTCAGACTGAAGGGGCTTTTGAGGCCCAACTTTGATCTCAGATAGCGGCTAAACGGCTTGCGCTAGAAGTATCAAATTTGGTGACCTTTCCTAAAATGTCTCTGGAAAAAAGTTCATATTAAATTAATACTAGTAAGTTGATGTTTTTTTTTGTTGCCATGGCAACGGGTTTCTAGCAGGCAGTTTTTTTTGAAATTAGAAGTAATTTTGGTTTAAACATAAAAATTTTCTGAGTTTTATATTAAATAACACTTCTTTTCCAACATTGATAACATCTTAAATAATTAAATATAAGTTAAATCATTTAATATGCATAGAATATGCTAATTTGATGACGTCATTGGTCAAAATCCAATATGGCGGACTGTATTATTAGCTCTGACGTCATATGACGTCATAATTACACAAAAGTTATTAAAATTTAATTCTATTACTACACCATTCTCTGAAAACTTGGTAGACATACGATGAGTGCATAGAAACATATAAAAACGGAAATAAGGTAATGTATAAGAACGCCAGTGTATCCATTATGATCGAAAGCCGGCTGGGCTCCGCGCGGACCCCAAAAGAAAATCAGATATATATTTTTTTATAAATGGTAGAAACGGATTTTTCTGCACTGTATTGAGAGACAACTTTGTGGGTGACAATTACCTACAATTTCAGAAAAAAATATTCAGAAACAAAAAGATATTACAGAATATATAGTGCTGGGGTCCGCGCGGACCCCAGGTGTACTGTTTAGGGTTAAGCATGATCTTGCTGGAGTGAGTGATTAGGCTAATAGTCCTATAATTTTCACATCGGCGCAGGTTTCCATTTTTTTGGTAAAGGAATAACAAGTGACTGTGTCCAGTTTTTGGGCCACCTCTTCTCCACCAAGATCTTCTGGCACAGTTCTGTATACTTGTCCACCACCACTGCAACGCCATGTTCATGTTGTACACCGCGTCAGCAACTTCTTCCCTCAAGACTGGCAGATCTTCTGTGTCTCTCTCTGCCCTGTTGGAGTTGGTCAGGTTGGTTGAGTCTACCTGGAGCTCGTGGTTGTAGAGTTTCTCACAGTATTCTGTCCATCGGTTTAATACTGCTGTGCTGTCGGTGAGGAGGCTCCCGTTGCTGTCTTCAATAACAGTAGGCTTCGAGCTTGACTGTTGTGTCTTGGTGAGGATTTTGAGGGTCTCGCAGGCCTTCCTGCTGTTTCTCCTATGCATCCCATGTTCCATCTCCTCACATTGGTCCTCAATTTACTTTTCCTTAACTTCCATCATCTTACTCATCACCACCCTGTAGGCGTGTTGGTAAGCTGCAGCAAGCTACTGACTCTTGTATTTGTGCTGAGTTCCCTCCTCTTATCGCACAGATTGAAAACATCATCAGTCAACCACAGTATTAAATTCCTTCTGTGTTTTCCCAACACTTTTACTGCTGTGGTCAGTAGTGTTTCCTTAATGTTTTCTACAAGTGTGTCTACGTCAGTGTCGAGGACACTAAGTGCCGCAAAATTGCGGCCTATCTGTGCTTGAAAGATTGTCTCCACCTCGGGATCTTTAAACTTCTCAAGGTTGAATCTGATGCGGGGCTTCTCATCCTTACGCTGGCACTACAATCTGAGTTTGAATGTGGGAAGCAGGAGGTCATGGTCGCTACCGATGTCAGCACCAGGGTAGTAACTTGTCTGTGCTCTGTTGATAATTGACTTGTGGCGCTGTTGACTCAAAATATAATCTGGTTGTGTATCTTGCCATTAGGAGAGTGCCATGTTGTTCGTCTGGACAGTTTATAGGGAAAGAGGGTGTTTGCAAGAGTAAGTTTATGGTGTTGAGCAAACTCGAGTAGTCGTAGTCCTCTCTCATTTGTCTCACCCACTCCATACCTCCCTGCCGTCCCTGCCCACTGTTGGTACGCATCATGGCCTACTTTGGCGTTCCAGTCTCCTAAAACCACTAGTAAGTCTTTTTAGGCACTTCCATTATGATGTTATCCAGTTCTTCAAAGAATTTCTCAACCTCTTCTTCATCATAATCACTTTTTGGTGCATACACTTGTATAATGGATATGTTGAGTTGTTGGGCAGAAATAAGGATGGAAATGAGTCTACTTGAGAACGGTGTACAACTGATGACACTGTTGGCAACCTCTCTGACCATAAACTGTTTTCTCCACTGTACCAGATCTTATGGCCTTCATTCGTTGCTGTTTCTCCAAAGCCTGCCCATCTTATTTCTGCTATACCAAGTATGTACCATCTGTAACGCTCTAACTCGTACGTACGTGAGCTCTTCCAGTTTATCACAGTCATGCAGGGTACGGGTATTCCATGTTCCGATCACTGTACCTTCTGTTTCTAGCTTGATAGTTTTTTTTTGCGCTGGTGGACTGTGTCAAGATTGTCCATCCTATGCTTCCAAAATAGAACTGATCTGGCCTACCTTAATTAGCTTTTCTCTGCTACTGTCTCGGTGGCGCCAATCTCCTCTCCGAGAAAAATTTGCCAGACGACCGTTGGGAAAAATCGCTTTCTAATCCGCTCTTCAGCCGTTGGGGGTAAAAATCTCCCCATCCGCCTTCGGGTCAGGCAGGCCTAACTATTTACCCATAGCTGGGGTCGAGGGTGGCAGTAGGTCCCAGGTTATCATGGCCACAATGGCGCAAGGAACAGAATAAACAGTTGATAACTGATAGTGAAATGAAATAGGGCAGTGGCTTGTAGGTGGGAGGGGGGCGACTCCGGTTGGGATGAATTATTATGCATATACATACATACATGCATACATACATACATACATATGTACATATAAGTGTGTAAAAGGAATGATTTTTGTATTCTTTTTTTTAATATCTCCGGGTAGAGTACTGTGTTCCATGTCTAAATAGGAGAAACAAGTATGGCTTGATAGTCCTTGTGCATTGTTCGATGTCCCTTCCGTTCATTAATATTTAAACGTGTCATATCATTCACGTTAAAGACCCGGGCCACCTGTTGCTGTGTTATCTTTGGTTTTCCGTATCGGAATGTTTATTCTCAAATAACGCTGTACACTGATATCTTCTGCGGTGACATCATACACTCAATGTACGCACGCACGTAAACACACGCACACACACACACACACACACACACACACACACACACACACACACACACACACACACACACACCCACACACACACACACACACAGGAATGCTAGCTGTTTTTTTCATCTTGGAGCTATAACATGTTCTAAAGAAGAATACGTCCGTGTTTTAAGTTTCTTCTTGGAGTGTAAAGTTCTCGTATTTTTTGCCCAGTGTACGAGTTTGCGTGCGTATCGTGTCTTTTAATAAGTAGCTATAATTATGTCGTCTCAATAGTGACCAGCAGGTATTGTTGCCGTTTGTTATCATCATCAATATTCAAATTTCATTAGCGTGTGGTGAAACCCAAGCGCAGTTTTGTTGCACGCAACTGTCTCCACCTAGTTCAAGACAGGGATATGTGGCTACATGAGAATGGAGGAAGGGAGGGGGGCACTCCTTTTCATCTTTCCCAGAACTAATAGAAGACGAATGTAACTTTTTGATCGTATGTCCTAATATCATGATATGCGGATACTATGTATAAGTTTATAACATTCCCTGCCAGCATTTATTTCTTATATTGATGTACCAAATTTAAGTAGTGACATGGTGACCTCAGTATTTTACATATATGAGAATATCATATTTTATTGGGAAATAATCTATAGAGTGCTTGCCACCTCAGCAGCGCGAATATTTATAAAGAGTTCATGAGGTGTTATGTTTGTTATATTTTCAAACCAAGTGCTGTATCAGAGCAACACACTGCTAATATAAAATGTATCACAGATAAAAACATTAGGAACATATATTCACTCACTCACTGGGTCGAGCTTCCCTCGGTTCCAATGACTGCTCTCCATCTCGTTCTATCCTTCATTTCTACCATCAGGTTTTTCCTGTCCAGCAGGGTTTCGTCCATTAATTGGTTAATATAGTTTCTTGCTGGACGACCTCGACTTCTTTTCTCCGTGTGTGGGTTCCTATAGTAATAACCGGTGTATGATTTTATCCTAACTTCTGTAGCAGTGTCCGATGAACCTCAACATGCGTTTTTTTATTGTTTCACTCATTGTGGGTAGATTTTCATATAGTACACCATTTGGTATATTTTGGTACCAGTGTACATTTTTGACAATCCTAAGCATTTTGGTGTAGGTCCCGTTTAGTCGTTTCTCTATGTACAATAATTAACAGGTTAATTATGATCTAATGCTGTATAATAATGTTTGCATTTTACAATTTATTTCAGAATTTGTGTATTCAGTTTTTAAATATATCACTATTGTAAAATATATTTCAATGCAGTGCTGTCCGTAGCTTGAAAGTTCATGTGTGTCGGTGGAGGTTACTCGGTTGGAACTGTAGTTTCCGACCTTGACCAAAAATTGTATTTTCCACATTTTCTACTGTTCAAATCCGGTCTTTCTCAAGAAATGATAAAGCCTGGAGTTGAACTTTAAAATGTGAGTAAGGTGTTAGAAATATTCCAGCTCCATTTGAACTATTTGAATGGTATGAAAAATGTTGGTATGTTCACTTGTTGTGCTGGAAATTAGAGTTTAAATATCTTTAAAATATATTGTTGAGTTCAGTTCGGTGTACTATCTTCCCACATGTTACTCTCTCTCCCCTCTTTCTCTGTATAGGTATTCGGTATGTATCCATAGAAGCATGCATTGTGTACAAGGAATTGGCAGGTGTCATTAAAGGTAATCATGGATCATTGTTGTCACTTGCTGCCATCATTAATATTTCAAACTCAATCACTTAACTCTAATACCTTTGACCTCCCTGTGTTACAGGTGTCTCTATGCTACGTTATTATGCGGTTGGGACACAGCAACATATGAGGGGTGATAACGAAATAACGACTTCTAAAATATAAGAATAAAGTTCATCCATTCAGTTATGGGTTATCTTTTATGTATACATTCACGCATATACATCCTGCTGACAATATTTTGTGTCTTATCTTCGATAAATGTCAAAGACGTTTTTTGTTTAAAAAATTATCAAGACAATTTCTACCCATCTTTGCAATGGGTACAGTCCGGATATGTCATCTCCCGAAAATTAATTTCTGTCGGCAGCGACTCCGTATCACGCGCCAAACGCAGTCAACTGTGGTCATGTTTCTCACGCAGGTAAAAACGTCTGGGTGAGAGAAAAGGAAAACAGCTGACTACAGCTGTGTTGGTAGTCTTTTCGAGCTTTTTTTTTACAAAGTGTTTAATTTCTTTAGTAACCCAACGGGACAACTGTAAACTACAAAAGTCTGTATAAGGCTGTACGGTCGCGCTGAGGGTGCGCTTTTGGTGCACCCTTGTCGTTTCCATTTTTGTCGGAATATTTTCTTTTGGACCAAACGGTGGAAAATATGGATGTGCTCAAGCTTAAGTTTGTGTTTGCCATCTGCTGTGCTGGTGTAATGTTGTCCCAGGCGTATGGTTCCCAGAAACAAGGTAAGTGACATTAGCAGTAATATTAGTATGTTTCTTTAATTGTCCGAAGACAAGTTAAATGAATTCACTCAGAGACGACATTTGGACAAATACAGCATGAGTCTAAGAGTAAGACTCACCTGCCTTGTAGGCTTGCTACTTGACACGCCTTTCAGCGCTGAGTGTTGCAGACATCATCAGTCAGAACCACCTCTCATCAGCCGTTTCGTCCCCTAATCTGATACGGCTTCCAGGTGGGGGGACAGCAGGGCGGACGTCTCCACTCTGCTTCTCTGCAACGCCTTGGTTTTCCAGTGGCAGTCCTTCCTTCTCAGCCAAAGCCAGAAACTACATCTTTCCACCTCTTCTGCCATCTGTTTTGCTGGCCCCTACAGCCCACCTCGACGAAACCCCTACAGCCCACCTCGACGGGGTACAGCAGTGACCTCCACCCATTCTTCGCTCACTGTTCAACCAGTTCCTGGTTTTGTTAAGCTTTTTCCGCTCGTACGCAGCTTGAATGTTCTCTTCCCATTGTATAGTCAGCCCCATCACTAGGACTGTCTTCTGTACTGAAGACCACAAGACTATATCAGGACGTAAGGTTGTTACACAATATTGTTACGCGAAAGCTACTTACTCTATTTCAGAATCTGATAATGTGTGACAAAAAAGAGTTCAAATACAAGCGGTCCTGAAATCCAAAGACGCGATGAACTGTGCGAAGAACACGGGTGTTTGCTGTCAATAAAAAAACATAATACAAACGTTGAAATAATGTCCATTTAAACATTCATGAAAAAACACGACTCATAGGTCTATATTGTTCACACAGGCGGTGACCGTAGCCTCTTTCGGCGACTTTTGCAGGCAAAAAAAAACCTTGTCAAAGGGGTTCTCTTAGCTTGACATAACGTCTGAGAATATAAAATGGGCGTGACTAAAACCGTCGGAGGTTCTGTAACGTTACGGCTCAGTCCTACCGACGCAGAGCTCAGTGACTGGCAGGTATCCGAGGGATCTCTCCCCGTCCCCTGCCCGAGGCCTATACTGATTTCGTCCTCCTCGGGCCAAAGAGTTTTAGAAAAATAAAGATGTTGGAAGCTCATAATTAGTTTCCCAATGACGTACGTCATAAAAAGGACATAGACAATGCATAGTACAAGAAAAAAAATTGAATCACTTTGTTGCAGTAATAAATTGTTTGGTAAATAACAGATTATTTGAATATTTTTTTATTCATCAAAACATAAAGACATAACAAGGACAGTGTGACGCTGCACTCAAGTTAACAACTTATATTAACAGCGCCACACACAAAAAAGGTACAATTAACGTTTAAATATACAAAGTTGACATGTGCGCCGTAGTCCCACCACCCCAAGACATTAAAATATTAAATTAAATGCTAACAGAGCTATTTGAAGGATAAGATTACATGGTAACCTCCTATATCTCATTGGCGGAAAAACATCCGCCAATCAGAGCTAGGAGGAGAATTTAGGCCCGTTAACACTTACGTAGTATTTGGACTTCTATATCTAATTGACTGTTAGAAACAGTCAAGCAGAGCTAGAAGCGCTTGGTATCTCCAATGTAAACCTGAGTGAGTTGCATCGTTTTAAAGTTGTACATAGAGGGTAACATTATTTGAATTGGTAACGGATGGATATAAGGGACTGACACGAAGCAGAAGGGAAGCTTAAGCGTCATCCAACAGGTGTCCTGGGAGCCTGGGGAGTTTGCCAAGGAGAGTTACACAATGGGGGTTTTGCATGGGGCAGTAGAGTAGGAACATAGGATTCTCATTTGCATGACTTATATCAGTTAATCATATTGTCCACCAAAAGACGGTATTTTCTTAACAAAGAATGACATACTAGTATCCCCTCCTTCATTATGCAAATAACGCCTTTATTTGAATAGATTGTACTTTAAGATGTTTACCTTTACGTAACTTTCAAATTACCCAAGTATGAAATTCCTTCACTTAACCCCCAACTACCACGAAGCCAACTCTACGTATTGTGATCACAATCTGACAAACAGCACACACACACCAAAAACACACAAACGCCAACAAAAATGACCCCAGACCTGTACATAAATTTAAAACAAATAAACCTAATAAACAACAACAAAACTTTGCCTGACGAAGACATATGCTCCACGATCTCCATTTTAAATACGGTGGTTGTTATGTATGATTATATTAGAATCTAGATAGATCATATTTATGTCCATAATTATGTTCACCCTTTTTGACGATTTGTTTTACTCATTCAGAACTCGTATATAAGAGGACATCAAAGCAAAACATAGGGCGAGGTTTTTTTCTCATTTTATGATCTGTAGATTTTACAATGGATTCAAGTGTTTTATTTAATTTCCCTTCTATACATTCAGTCGGATTAAAAAGTGAATTAAGGTTAATAAGGTATCGGTTTTTTATTTTATTTTCCCATTTTAATGAGTAATATTTTTACTCATAACATATTGTGTTTTCTCATGCTTCTCCTCCTCCTCCTTCTGGCTAATTCGCCTCCTCTTGCAATGTCATCAAATGGATTCAATTTCTTCTTTTTTGGGCCAAATAACATGTGTCATATATTTGCAATTAAATTGTTTTCTTCGTAAAATTTATACGATTTTGGCCCTCAATAATTTATGACAGGCTCTGGCATCCAGTATTAGGCGATATTAGGTAGGTAGGTAGGTAGATATTAGGCGATATGACAACGATCGTTTCAAATGGCAAGGCTAATTACAAGTCATCAAATCGCGGCAGTGTTTATTTATGAAGATTTACCACATTTGTGGAAGGATTGACATAACAGGTGACCTTTTCAAAGATGTCAACCCCGAGACCAGACTGTAAGGTTTGAACCACTCACACCGGGAAGGTCTCCTACTCTTTTCGATAAGTGCGGTGGGTTCTTTATCGTGATTGGGGTGTGGCTCTCCCAAACACGGGACCTCCATTTAACGTCCTATCCGAGGACGTCCCTACCAAAAGCTAGGTACTCATTTTCACCTGAGTGAAGTGAGGAAAGTCGTGTAAAGTACATTTCCCAAGGGTACAACGTCGGGGCGCATGTTCGGACTTGTTCGGGTACGACCCGAAATCGAACCCGGGTCTCCTCGTTTCATAGTCCAGTGACGTACCACTACACCACACGACGCCACACAAGTGTCCATTCTAAACTGTGATTTTTCTGTTTTAAAGGCGTCCGAGATAACAAGGGCACCGAGTTCATTTTGACGTTTACGGAAAACTTTCAGAGGAGTGAAAATGAACCCGCGCTGTTCATCACCACCCAGTCTGCCACACCGACCGACGTCACCATCACACTGCCTGCTACCGGCCACACCACCACGGTTACGGCGACTAACGGGCAGGCGAGTCTTTATAATTGTCTCCCTTCTACAGATACTCTTATGGTCATTGTTCCGCCGAACTCTCACTTCTCGTTCCATCTATTGGGAGTTTTTTTACGTACCTCTAGGTTCTCCTCTACCTGACATGATTACACATTCCAAATACTCTCTAATGCTATAGTCACATTTGTAAGTCGGGGACGGCCGGGCAGTGTACGGGAATGAAAATTATGATACAAAAGACAACAGAACACACACACCTATTTTGGGCCTATTGACTTGATGACTGTTTCAATTTACTTATTTTGTCAAACATGTGTTTTGTAACTAATACTATCATAACTATCATTAATAATATTCTTAGTATTGGTATTTATTAGGATTATTACTATCATTTGTTGGAACGCTGGACACTCCTTCTAACGACCTCATCGACCTACTCGACCTCCATGAAAAGCGGTTTTAAAGGCCGAGTGGAGCCATTCTTGAGTTTTAATAAAGGCACAAACAAACAAACCTTTTCAACCCCGCTGTTTAACAGGTGACAGAGGTGGACCTATCCCGTACAGCCGTGGAGCTTCGAGGCAGCCGAAAGAGCAACAAGGCCGTCCACGTCACGTCAGCTGAAGAGATTGTGATGTACGTTGTGTCTTTTTTAAATCACTTTAAACGTTACAAGAACAATGAGCACCTAACTATAGACAGGTTGAGAAGATAAATTGGCAAAGACAGATATAAAAAACAAGTATGCACGAAAACGAATATCAGATGGCCACATTTGAATCAAAAAGATTTCGATAAAGAAATTTCCGCCAAAAGTTGTAGCATACAGCAAAATTTTTAGCTTATAGCATACGAGATTATTGACTTTCACGTAGCGTCAGTGATACAAAAAACAATTGTTTATATTTGAATGCTTAGGATCATATGTTACAACATGTTTCAATTAGCCGTGAAAGAAAGCCAAAGAAGATCGCACGTGAAGGGCGGTATGCTAAATAATGAAGGACTGTTTTGCATTGAAACCCACAGTTACGGAGTGTTTGCTGAACAGGCCACGTCCGACGCCTACCTGGCCCTCCCGACAGACGTGTTGGGGACCGAGTACTTCGTCGCTTGTGCCACGGTCCAACGCTCGTGGAACGAACATGGCCTTAGGGACTTGCCAAGTGGTAAGAATTTTCTTATTTTTACTTATTTTTCAATAGCTGTCTGAATAATATTTCTTTGTTTTGTTTTGTTTGTTTTGTTTAGTTTTTGTGCCTGTCCAGATCTTCAGTAACACAGGTCTAGATGCAGTTTTAGTTTGTCCTGGCGGAGGCCGAAAATTGGCGAGCGGGGAAGACTGAAGCTCTGATTACCTTAATTTTCCCCTCTCACCTAAACGTATCACTAAGGGAGGAATTAATCCAATAGTCTCTGCCACACCCACCATTACGAAGTACACAAGGTCAACCCAGGCAGACGCGACGTATCTAAGATG